CTAACTTGTTTTGTGGTCTATCCTAGAGAATATGCCACATGCATCTAAGAAGAACGTGTATTCTGTTTCTGTTAGACGCAGTGTCTATATGTGTATGTTAGGTTAGGTGGTTTATAGTGTTGTCAAGTCCTCTATATCCTTATTAATCTTCTGTCTAGAAGATACATTATTGAAAGTGGGACAGTAAACTCTCCAACATTATTATAGAACCACTTCTTCCTTCATTTGTCAATGTTAGCTTCAATAACAACAACGTAAAGGTAGGAAGACAGGTGTAGAGGAGCAGTTTTTATATGCTATGGAAGCTAAGTAGGTATCAATTCAAATTAGATTGTTATAAGTATACATTTTGGCATCTATTGTATGGTGCATATGTTTTTAATTGTTATTTCTTATTGATGAATGTTTGATAGAGTATAGCCACCCCAGCTCTCTTTTGGTTACTATTTACATAGAATATGTTTTCCATCTTTTCACTTTGAACCTATTTGTGTTTTTGGATTTAAAATGAGTCTCTACTAGGGAGCATGTAGTTGGATCATGTATTTTACTCATTCTGCCAATCTCTCTGCCTTTTGATTGGAGAGCTTAATCTGTTTATACTTAGTATAATTAGTGGTAGGAAGAACTTCTGCCATTTTTCTATTTGTTTTCCATATTTCTTATAACTTTTTTGTCTAAGGTAATGTTTTCTCCTCTGTTCCCTCATTTCCTCCATTACTGCCTCTTTTTATTTTCTTAATTGATTTTTATAGTGTAACATTTTGATTACCTTACCATCTTTTTCAGTATATTTTAAAGATATTTTCTTATTGGTTACTCTGGAAATTATAATTTACATCCTATTATTTATAACAATCTAATTTGAATTGATACCTCCTTAGCTTCAATAGCATATAAAAACTGCTCCTCTACACCTGTCCTCCCACATTTATGTTGTTGTTATTGTGACAAATTACATCTTTATACATTACTAGTGACCCGTCACACGAAATCGCACGAGACCCGGGACCCCTCCCCCTCCGCTTAACCCCCCCGCCCCCCATGCCGCGGGATGACCCCGAGTCTTGGAGTGCTGCCCCAATGCCCCGCCTCTGGGCCATGTGCAGCAGCCACTGGGCCCTGCCCCTGCACCGTGCACATGGGGCCGTGGAAACTCCAGCAGAAGTCACGCGAAGCAGCTGCTGGGACTCCCGCGCCTCCGTGGGGCCACAGGAACCCCGGTGGAAGCCACGCTGAGCTGCTGCCGTCCCTGCCCCCACTGCCCCATCCCCACTGTGCATGCTGCCATCTTGTGACGGCATTACTGCGTGAGGATCAATTTACATATTACCTCTTTATTATATAGGATGTGCCCATAATACTGCCTTTTTTACTTACCTGTGTACTTACCTTTATTAGAGTTCTTTATTCTTTATGTAGCTTTGAGTAACTGTCTCGTTTCCTCCCATTTCAACCTTGAGGCCTGAGACTTCACTTAATGCTTGCAGGTAGGTTAGCGATCAGCAGAGGTGAAAGCCTCGGGTCTTCTCAGACCTTTTCTGAGCATGCATCCTGCTCTGCGCATATGAGTAGCTTCTGTGTTCCCCAGGGTCTATGGGCACTTTTGAATGCCCTAATTTCTCAAAGAAACTCTCCCCACCCTTTCCTCCCAGGCTTCAGGTAGTCTGTTGTATGTCTCAGCCTTAATCTTTTGCACGGCAAGGCTCTGGGTCGTTTGTTTGTCATACATCTTCAACACAGTACCCTGCTTTTCACCTTTGAGTGCGTTCTGACTAGGCAAAACAAAGGCAGGCACCTTGCATTAGTCCTTTAGGTAGTTCCTAGACAAGTTAGAACAGACCTACACAATTTTTTTTATAATAAAAAAGAACCAGAGATCAGGGCCCCACACTGGAATGTAGGCTGCTGTCTTTGAGACTACTGCTGAGCTGAAGAGGGAGTTGGAGGCAGGGTAGGTAAAAATGCTCCAAAGCTTTCCTCCTGATTTTGAGTTTCCTTTTCCTTGGTTCAACTTCACCTGATTGTTGTAATAAACCTTTGACTATTTTCCAGAGTTTTGTCAAAGTTGATTCTGTTAGTTTTTGCTTATTATTATTTTTTAATGTATCCCTGGAAGCTCAAGTCCTCAGATCTACCTACTCCATCATTTTCACTGACCTCATTCCGTTTGTTTAATGATGAAAAACGTTACTTATAAGAGATAAAGGAAACCCCAGATGATTTTAAATAAGAGAACACCATGATCAGATATGTCTTTGACAAATGCTATCTTGTAGTTTTGTGGAGAATGATCACCCCTCCCAACCTTCCCTAGGTTCCATATTAATAAAAACTAACTCTCTTTCTAGATTTTTGTCAAATTTGTGCATGATGACTTAAAATATTAGTTATGTAGGAAAATCACTTTGGGAGTTTGAAGGAAGGGTGTCCTCAGAATGATAAATATTCTTTCTTCTGCACTCTAATTTGTGAAGGAATAGCTTAACATGTGAACAACTCCAAGTGGTGTGCCCCAGTGTGAGTAGTAGTGATAATTTGTTTATTGATTGATTGATTTTCCTAAGCAATCTGGGAGGGCAGCTAGGTTTAGGTGATTATGTTACCCGTTTTTTTTGGCAGCCAGTAGAACCACAGGAATTGCATTTTTGTGAAATAACTTTATATTCCCCCTTCTACTGAAATACATATTGTATTTTATTGATTCTATATACATATTTTTGACATTTTAATATTGCTAAAAATGAAATGCACCTCACAATTAGTGGCATGTCACATTATGATAGATAGCATTTATCTGTCTTAGATTTTATGAACTATCAAATTCTTTGGCTGGTTTTATGCACTTTAATAAAGCACTTGAAAGCCTTTTTGGAACAACATAGATGCATAAATATATAAAAATACCTTTATTGATTATTCTTGTTGACTGAGTCAACCTCTTAGTTATTCTTAGCCCGTGTCACCGAAAGAGCAGATTAGACATGGTTTTCTTTTCTCCTGTCATTTTGATGTAAACCTTTCCAAGGTATTAGGAGGAATGAGGTCTTCATGGGAGATGGGAAATATGAATTGAATGACTCATTGGACAAATTTTACTTAATGTAACACACCTAGGAATCCTCAGCCTCTGCCCTCTCTGATTAGCTGCCTCATTTGCCTGTTGGCATGTGAAATGTTAGAGTTCAAAGCCCTCTGTAGCCAGTTTTGCTGTGGTTTGGGGGACTTGTTCTTTCCTTTGTCTGGCCTGTTTGAAACACAGGTCTGGACTGCTGCCTTGCCTAAACCATTTCTTGTGCACCTGCACACTGTAAAGGGAAACTCTGAAATCTTTGCTGCATTTCATTTTAAGGCACAGACCACAAAACACGAAGGAATGTAACCAGAGTCCAGCTGCAATGTTCTTTTCCCCCTATTTCTTCTTTCACTGAGGACTGAAAAGTAGGTTTTAAAGTGATTTTTTAAAATGCAATGTATTAGTCATTGCTCTTGTGCTGCTTAACTGTCTGTTAGATAATATATTCAGAATGGATCAGTGAGACAGTCATTGAGCTAGCACATAGCTGGTCAGAGCATATGGCTTTTTCAAGCCCTCAAAAGAGGTCTGAAATTTTTTGTTTTAGTCTCAGAAGGAGAAATAAGGGGTGGTATAATTGGCAGGCACTTTTGAAAGTGCTTGGCCTGTTCAATACAAGGCTTTTACAAATCCCTAAAAGATGGTCAGCTATTTTTCTGTAGTGGGATTACTGGAACCTAGAGAAATGTTAATGCTGCTTTTCCCATTTTCTTGATTATTTTTGTACTTATATTTATTCCTGTGGACGATCTTGACTAAAACCCCAGGAGTTGCCTTTTTTACTTGATTGACTGATTTTTATAAGATACAGAAACTGTAGAGTACAAGAAGATTGTGATGTGTCCAAAATCAGATAATATTGGGTCCAGATCCTCGTCATTGCATGTGCATGTGATGCTAGCGAGAGAAGGAATGGTGTGCTTTAATGATCTACCACCTTTTTTGTGACTGGATACATAAGGCAGTCATGCACACTTATCTATAAAGAGACTGGCCAGACAGCGAGGTCCCTGAGCCTGTGGTTTTGAGTCTTTATTTTTCTTGCAGCCACCTTTGCATGTCTGGAAGTTTATGGAGCTTCCCCTTCAGCATAACTAGGTTGCTTTTTGCCATGAATGAAGAGACAAAGGAATTTGCCGAGTGGCAGTGAGCAGACAGATTCCTGTCTCTGTGTTCCTTCAGCCTACCCCTCTGGCCTGGCAACATTACTTTCTTGCATAAGTGAATGATACTTTCCCCCCAAATGATGTCTTCTTGAAGAGTTAGAATACATTATTTGTTTGAGAAGTGAATTCTCTATAGGAATAGTGACTGGCACCTGGGATTTTGTTGGCATAAGGCTTATATTGAAAACATAAGCGTTTTCAGACTGCTGTAATTCTGACTCCTCATTTATGTCATTACCTGCTTCAGGCATACTTAAACACCTGTTGACAGCATCTTATATTTAGAATTATAGATTCCTTTCTATAAAAGGTTTCAGCTTCTGTTTGTTAATCAAGCTGTGAATTCAGAAATGGTTGCTGTTTTCACTAAATCAGCATCTGTTTGCTTTCATGGCAGCCAATGAAATCTGATGGCTTCGTTCCATAAGTGGGAGATTTTTACGTGTGCTTAGGCTTACGTTTTCAACTCTTCTACTGTTTATCCTGTAAACTTGAACATTTCTTATAACCTTTCATCTTCATTTTATTATAGGTTGTTACTCAAATGCAGGCATTTAGAGCACTCAGGAGCCAAGACCTCAATTCCTTAAAACTGAACAATGAATGTGATGACTTGAGGCAATGGGTAGACCACTGCTTTGGTTTTCTGTTTTTCCTTGCTGTGCAACTTAAAAGTATAATCAGATATTTTCTAGGGTGACTAACATTATTGAAATGAATGAGATTATTAAGTCTTTTATATTTGCCATTTGCTACAGGAATGTGACCTAATTGAAAAATCTCTGTTCATGTAAAAACTCCCAAAAGTCTATAGTTCGATTCCATTATAACTACCTAAGGGTGCACCATGGGACAGGCATGAAGATGAAAAAACATATGCTCGTGCAGAATTGTAGACTGTGTTTTAGAACAAGACAGAAGATTGCTAGGTCATAGGATTAATTTTTCATTTCACAAATGAAGAAGAAGCAGGTTGAAAGATGAAGTGAGGTCATATCACAAGTTATAAGCATTCCCTCTGATATGGCCCACTGAGGAAAGCAAGCCCAGAAGATGGTGTGCTTATTGTAGTGTGGTACTTTTAAGCAAGCATTAAGGAGGTGTAAGAAATGTGTTTATTAAAATGAGTCCGTGTCTGAAAAATACCCCTTTTCCTAATTTAGGGAAAGGTCCCCAGGAAAAAATGACGTGATGTGAATCCATATATGTTAAGCAAAGTCACTATGTTAAGTTCTCATTGAAAATGTTAATTATTTAAATCCCATTTATCAGTTGGTTCACTTAACTTTTTCTCTCTCTCTCTAAAAAGTACAATGTGAAATGCCCCTCTTCCCTTCTTTCTTGCCTCGACTTGTTTATACTTAGTGGAGTTTGTTTTATATTTTTAATTATTTAGGACTTTGGAGTTATGTTGGTGTCACTGAGTGACTGTGGTAATGTCCTCTCTGAGTCTTGGTTCACCTCGTACAATACCTATTCCACTAGATTAACATGAGTATTAAATAATGCACAGTGTTTGGCATATAGAACATGCTCAATAAAATTTTGCAACCATTATGTATACATTGAGTTTTACAACAGGAATTCCCAGCAGCCTTGTAGTTCTTCTTACTATTTCTAGGTGCTTAAAGGAAAGGTGGGCCTAAGAGAAGGTTAAGGAAAATTTTAAATGCAACCCAGCGGCATAGTGTGAAGTTTCCTTTTGTCACAATGCCATGAGGTACATCATCCTTTAGTGAGTGGTGTAAACGCAGAGGACTGATGAGGTTTCCCACAGTTCAGGGAAAAAAGCTTTCGCTGGTCTGAAGGCTTGTCTCTTTCACTGCAAGTACTCAGGGCATTCACTGCCTGATGCCTACTAAGGAGTTAAGCAAGCGTGTCTTAGAAGCTGTCACATAGTGAATGCTGAAGCCCTTATTCTTAAAAGGAATGTTGAGCATGTTCCAACTACATAGTTCCCTGCCTGGCCTACTACTTTTTTTGTCTTGTACTAGTTTTCTTTCAGTTTATAACCTATGCCCAGTCAAACTATTGTTTTCCAAACACATCACATTATTTCCCACTTTGATACTCTTTGTCCATGCTATACTGCTTACTTGGAATGCCTTCCCTAGGATCAAAATTGTGGATGAACATAAGGCCCTTCCCTTATTATCTAAAACTTGATTTCCCATAGTTTGGATTCAATTCTCAGAAATGAAGTGTGATTATATATACACTCATTTCATTTTAACAGTGATATGAGTGGTGTATTAGAGTTATTTGTCATATTCTCGTCAAAATATTTTCAGTATAGAGACTACATCTTAATTTACTCCACTGCTTTGCAGAGAGACCTGTATTGTGTAGACACTCAATAAAATATTTCTTGAATTGAAGTAGGAGAGCAAAAGGGATGTTCAGTTTTTGCAAATGCTATTAGGTAATCTGACACTCCATACTGTAGCTCGTAGTTTTAACTCTAGATGCTCTGGCCAGGACCATCATTATTTCATATAGTCCCTCAGGACCATGGCAAGCTATTAACTTCGGTGCCTATTGTAATCCAAGGCACAGGCAACAGCGTTGATGGGGTTGTGTTCAGGAGTGAGAGGAAAGAGCATGTTTTAAAATAAGGGATCCCCATGGAAATTTAGGCAGGAGAGATCAACAAAATAAAAGTGCAGGTGGGGTTGCTGGGTGAGACAGGAAATGAACACCTTATGAAGATTAGGCATTCGACTGAGAGAGGGGGAATGTGGAAAATGAGTCACAGCTATTTCATCGCTGACACTTGAAGCGTATTGTTGTGTGTGTTGTTTTTAATGAAGTGTGCTTTTATGGTGCTGATGTTATTATCTGGACGAGGAAGTCTTCCCTAGTATTATTGTCATCTCGGCTTTCTGCAACCAACTAAATTAAAATACAGTAATGTAACGGGACAGTGGGATAAAAAAGAAAACCAGATGACTCTGACATGTAACCCCAACTTGAACTTAACTGCTTTTCTGGTTTGCCGTTTACTCGCATCAGAGGAGAGGCTGGATGTAATGCTCGAGGGCTGGAGGGGCAGAGGGATAAAATTCAGGGATTGGCAAAAGTAGGTTTACAGTTGTGAGTACACAATTTATTCTGAGAGAACCAGGACGGCAGCGTAGGTAAAGGCCTGTACTCGCCACCTCCCACAGCCACATCAAAATTACAACCAAAACACAGAACCATCATTCAGAACCGCCTGAAACCTGGCTGAATGGAAGTCCTACAACTAGGGAAGTAAAGAAGAAAGCATGTTCTAGGAAATGGCCCCTAAATATCTGAGCTGCTGAGTGTGGAAAAGAGCTGTCCAAGACATACACGTGCCCAAAACAGATATTGTACCTTCCCATTGACCAAAGCCTCTAGTTTCTCACTTCGCCTGATAAGAGACTTCACTTTAAATTGCTCAGTGATTTTGTTTTAGGCGTAGATAAAAGAAAGATATGTTTATAATTTAATCTTTAGTTTACATAAAAATAAAAGTTACTCTCAGCCCTCACCGTTTTGGCCCACTAGATAGAGTGTTGGCCTGCGGACTGAAGGGTCCCAGGCTTGATTCCGGTCAAGGGCATGTACCTGGGTTGCGGGCACATCCCCAGCGGGAGGTGTGCAGGAGGCAGCCGATTGATGTTTCTCTCTCATCGATGTTTCTAACTCTCTATCCCTCTCCCTTCCTCTCTGTAAAAAATCAATAAAATATATTTTAAAAAATTACTCTCAAAGATGATTAGCTTTAAATGGTTAATATTAATATACATTTATTAATTTACTTGAAGCATAGTAATATATCTTTATAAAGTGTTTTAGATCACAGATTGGTTATCATACATATGACTAATTTGACTAAAACACATGCTTGCTTCCATACAGAATTATCTAACAAGGATAAACCATATTGGTATTTAAGTAATAAAAATTGCATATTCTAAAGTTAGGAAAGGAGAAACTGTGGCTTTCTCATTTTACTCTTCTGAAAGAACTTCAGCATCAAACATACCTTAAAGAAGTTACTTTTATCTCATTAGCCTCCGTGCATTTACCTAAAAATGAAGATAATGGCTTTAGAGAAATAAGAATAAAAGAGAGTTTACGTAAAATTATTGCATTTGATAGTCACTCAGAAATGTCTGTACACAGAATAAATGCATATATTAGTCACAACATTAACTTCTTTCTCTTCTGCCTGTACTCTTTGATCTTACTTCATTCTAGTAGAAAAGAGACTCAGACTTTTAGAATTGAAATAGTCCAGGGCTTTCAATTACGAAAGGATCTTTTAAATAATCTCAGAAATGCATAGACCATAATAAGAGAAAAGTTTCATAAATTTGATTTCATTAAAAACTTGTTTATAACTAAATGAAAAGGCAAGCCACAGATCAGAAGATGTTTAGAGCACAGTTAACCAAGGGCCAGTATCTAGAATATATAAGGAAAACCTTTATATATCAACTAGAGGCCTGATGCATGAAATTCTTGGAGGGGGAGGGCACCCCTTAGCCCAGCCTGCTCCCTCTCGTAATCCAGGACCTGTTGCTCCTAACCACCTGCCTGCTTGCTATTATTGCTTGGCTTGCTGCTCCTTACTTCCCACTGCATGCTCCTTACTGCTTAGTTCACTGCTCCTTAGCACTGCCACGGAGGCGGGAGAGGCTCCTGCCACCACCACTGTGCTCACCAGCTGTGAGCCCGGCTTCTGGCTGAGTGGCGCTCCCACTGTCTGAGTGCTCTGACCACCAGGAGGCAGCTCCGGTGTTGAGCGTCTGCCCTCTGGTGCTCAGTGCGTGTCATTGTGACTGGTTATTCTGGTCGTTGCACCATAATGGTCGCTGGGCTTTTATTATATAGACTAGAGGCCTGGTGCACATAAATTTGTGCACTTGGGGGGAAGGGGGGGTCCCTCAGCCCGGCCTGTGCCCTCTCGCAGTCTGGGACCCCTCGGGAGATAACGACCTGCTGGCTTAGGCCCGCTCCCGGGTGGCAGAGGGCAGGCCCAATCCCTAGGTGCAGCCCCTGGTCAGGCTCAGAGCAGGGCCGACTGGGGAGTTGGGGCGCTGCCCCCAGTCATGTACAGAGCAGGGCGATCGGGAGGTTGTGATGCCACCTTCAGTCACGCTCAGGGTAGGGCCAATTGGGGGGTTGGGGCACCGCCCCCTGTCACACTCAAGGCAGGGGCGATGGGGAGGTTGCGGCGCCACCCCCTGTCATGCACAGAGCAGGGCCCATCAGGGGGGTTGGGGCTCCATACCCTGTCATGCACAAAGCAGAGTCAATCAGGGGGTTGGG